TTTGGTTGTTTAATTATAATTGCATAACATCAAGCAATTGCACCAACTGCTGCTCAAGAGTCAAAGTAAGAGGAGACTGCTACTCTGCCATAAAGATGAATGAAAAAGGAAAAGCAAAAGAAGAAACATGAAAAAAAAAAATTTAAAAAAAAGAGATCTAAATAATGCAAAAGTTAGATTTAAACTAAAATCCTAAAAAGAAAAAACAAAAGAAATGAAATGAAAAAAGCTAGACCTAGACAATGCAAAAGCTAGATCTAAACCAAAATCCCAAATCCAACCACTCCTCAGGGATAATCAAAAGTGCCTTTCATCTCCACTAATGTATATAAAGGGAATATAAAAAATGTGCATATCAATTAACCCAAAAACTTTAATTTATGTACAGTAGTGAATGGTTTACGTTGAAACCAATCCAACAACTACCAAAATCCCAATGCTAATATTAATATACGGTATCATAGCTATACACTTGGACCTCACACTTAATATTTATATTTATTGCAAAGCATATAAAAAGAATATTCATTTTTTTAGGAATTTGAAAAACCCTTAAAAGGGAAATCCTCTTCAAGAAGGAGAAAGGCAAAAAGATAGATGGGACCAGCTAGTTCAGTGCCTGGAGAAGGTCTTAGCAGTACACTCTTTTGGCTGCTCAAGCTGGGTGTGTATTTGGTTCTTCAGTTGCCAACACGCTGATTGCTACGTACGCTGGTTGTGGAAGCTTGTCTTTGATAGTCCAGCCTAATTCTGGAATGTGTGAATGGTGAAGGTGGGATGGGTTTCGGGACAAAAAGTGAAGGCTTCATGCCGAATCGAGCTTCTTTCCTTGTGGCATTGAAAGCTTGCGTGAAATCTACAGCAAATACAACAGACGGTGTATAGGAAATCCATGGAAAGATGTGAAAATTACTTGCTTCGAGCAAGGCATGGCATATCAATCGCAGGCAATGAGGTGCAGTTGTAAGTTGGAGGTAGCTTCCTTGAGTGCACTGATTCAAAGTTATGCCAGGGTGATGCTGCACTACTGATCTTAAAGCCACTTTCAAATCAAAACATAATAATCTTTTTTTAGTTGTTTTGGAGAATGCAAGAAGGCTGGAGTCCAGATCGCATGACTTATCTCGCAGCACTAAAAGCCTGTTCGAGCGTGGTAGCAAAGGTGGAAAGGAAAGCTAACAAGGCTTGTTGTTTCGAGAGAGTGAAATGTATACACTCTCGAGCTGCAAAATCTGGACTTGACCAAGACATTTTCGTGGCGAGTAGCCTGGTGGACCCATACGTAAAGTGTGGGAACATCGAGTTTGCTGAGCTTTCGACAGGATCAAGGTGGAACTACTGGGAGAAGTCCACCAGAGTTCCGGATGCTGCAAATCTGTGGTAAACTTCTCTCCACGGCAGCATGGTGGAATCTGAGCGAACTCCCGTGGGGAGGAGAGTCCCGGTAACTTGGAACGCACTGATTAGGAAACAGCCATCAAGAATACACTGCCTGAATCGTTCGAGAGGATGCAAGAACAGCGGTGCAAGCGACTTTCCTCTCGAGCTCTTTGAGATGATGGAGAAAAGAGGTATTTGAGCCTCCTTGATCCGGTTTGCTAATCCAGGAGATTGGGTGTTTTAAGAAGCAGCAAACGTGAGGATTTGGATGGCGGTGTGCACTTTTCCGCTTTTAAGTGTGGCCGATAATGCAGTCCCTTGGCAAATTGTGTTCAAGTAATAAACCCCTCGCCCTGACTCCGCAAAGATGACCAAATTGCCCTCTGCATGGATAGAACGACGGGGAAACAAACCGGAGACGATATGATGTGCAGGATCTTGGTAGTGCAATTCTAAGACTGTAACCTTCCACGCGCCCCTTCCTCAGGCATAGCCGCTTGCAAAGTAGTGCTGGCCATTGAAGCTCAAACCAGGGCGCAGCACACACAGTGCAGGATTTCCATCTCCAGCCTTGTGTTTCAGGCCTGTTGTAATCCTCAGGCTGCACACTTTTAGGATATCCCATGTTGTGGATATTCTAGGAAGCTCTCCAGAACGTTTGAGAGTCTTCTAGAGCCCTCTAGAGAGGCAGTTAGCTGGTAAGCAGTTGGCCAGCAGGTCATATATGTAACTTTGTTTCTTTAGTATGTGCAAGGGGAACTATGGGGATATCATGTGTGTGTTCTTTGTCTTCTTTCTCTAGTTCATCATGGTGGAATGGTTCCTAACAAAGACTTGCTCAAAGTGTTCGATGGGAAGGATTTCCTTGGCTGATGGAGCACTTTTACATGGAGAAGAATCTCAGGAGATCTTTGAGCTTTGTTAGGCCCCAGATGGTGTCAAGGATTGGAAAATGCAACACATGAGCATTTGTGAGTAATTTGAAAGCTGTATCAGCTTAAGACCAAATTTGGTGGTCCAAGATATTGTCAGCTCTTTAAGCACCCACCAATGGGTGGTCACTAACATGCTTGCCCATTGCTGTCCCAATCGGTTGAAGACATTCCTTCCAATCTTGCCATGTTTGCGAACTCTTCAGCCAAAGTCTCTGTCTGGCACATGCTCGGGCTGCACCAGGAGGGTGTAGCCCAAGGATCGTAAGCGCAATGGGTAGAACCACAAGAAAAAGAAGGACAAGAAGTGCAAGAATAATGGCTTGTGTAATATCTGCAAAAAACCTGGCCACTTTGCACATGACTGCATAGAAGCAACCAAGCCAGCTAAAGAAATCCATAAAGGCAGGCAGTGAACTATGCTCGGGCAGATGACAATGCTCAAAATGGTGACAGCTTGTTCATGACTTCAAACATTGATCTCCAGGCCCTTGCAACTACAGACTCTAAGCTTGAGTTTCCCAATCAATGAGAGCTTTTTGGCTTGACAGTAGCGCCAACACACATCCAGGAACTCTTCAGTTGCTTGGACGTGATTCCAGAGGGTAAGCATAGTGATGACTACTCCCACAGCATGTGTGGCATAGGCACCATCAAAGTCCCCTTTACTTATGGGAAGGTTGTGGCTGCCATAGCATGTCCCTGGCATCAAGAAATCCCTCTTCTCGGTTGGTAAGGTCGTTGATTGCAACATGGAGCTCTTATGCAATGCTTGATTCTGAAGAATGAGAGTGTTATTGCTAGTGGGAGGCATCACGCTGGTCTCTACTGGCTCAATGTAGAATTGGAATTCCCTACTCAACCCTTCTTTATGTGGGATCCCAGCATCCTGTTGACCTCCAGACCTGGCATCAACAGCTTGGACACACTATCAGGACATCAAAAAGCTTATACATTCAGGCATGGTTGCTAGTCTGCACATCACTTCACAAAAGCTGAAGTTTTGTAAGCTGTGTATTCTTGCAAAGCAGCACATGTTTCCCTTAAAGACTAGTGTTGTTGTAAGAGCTATAGAGATTCTAGAGCTCGAATGTGTGTATGATGCCCTCCCTTTCTAGTGAGCATATAATTTACTTTGTGGACAATTTTTCCCGCATCATCAAGTTTCTTTCTCGTAAATCAGAGGTGTTTGGTGAGTTCAAGCTCTTCAAGACCAAAGCAGAGTTGCAAACAGGAAAGAAGCTCAAGAAGTTTCGCAATGATGGTGGTGATAAATATACATCCAGAGAATTCATCAGCTTTGTGATGATGAAGGGATTGCGTGTCAGTACTCTATACCAAACACACAACAGCAGAATGGCACGGCTTGTCAACAAGACACTTTAGGAAGCAGCTTGCTCCTTTCTTGGAGATGCTGGTTTGCCAAAAAAAAATTGGTGTGACTGGATGTTGCCGCACCCTGGTTTGTGCACGACAAGGCTGTGGGAGCACAATGGGCAGTGCTACTTTGCGAGCGGCTGAGTGTATGCTGGAGGCAACCGTGAGGAAGGTTGATGACAAGGTTGGCTTGGCTACAGTCTCGGCAGTGCACTACCCAGATCCTGCGCAACATAACGTTTTTGGTTTATTTCCCCAACGTTATATCCATGCAGAGGGCAATCTCGGGCGAGCGCAAAGATTTATTCACCAAGGGACTGCTTTAACAAAAGCAGAAAAGTTTCGGTATCCACCAGGGCCAAAGGAGTTTCTGTTGCCTCTACGGACCGTTGAAGTCGTTGCTTGCCTGTTATACATCCTCAAATTGCCCAAGCAATTAGGCCGCAGTCACCAATGTTTGGCACAGACTTCCATGACTTCGGAGCATGTGGTCAGAATCTCCAAATTGTCATCTTGACTGAGCAGCACGGACAGAGGCGCTTCTTCATCAAAAGGAGAAGAGTGGCGTCTTATATAGTTACTGAAAATCAAAAGGATTTGAAAACGAGCCTTTAGAGAGATGACTTCCTCTACGATGCTGGCGGGCATAGCAGCATCGTCGGTTGACTCCATCTTTGTTATTGCTCGATATCAGTCTTGGAAACACCTGTGCCAAAATTCTGCTGATCGCATCAATATGGTCGTTCCGAATGCAACTCGATCTGAGAAATGGCTTTGTCGGGCATATGCGACGTTCCTTGCCGCTCTCAACAATGTGCACGGACTAGACATAGACCGCAATGATGCAGTCCAGGCGATGTTGTTCCTTCCATACGATCAAACACGATCTTCGCCTCTTTAAGATACCCAGGCGTCTTGAGCATGATAATTCAGGAAATGGTATCTGGATCAGGCATTCGATCAAAGAAGCTCCATTGTTGCACTTCCCAATCCCCATGCTCAATAGTGGTTCTATTTGAATTCGTCAGAGGACTTTCTTTTACAGAAATTCAATCTCTATCTGAATGAATTGATAAAAGGTAATAAATTAATATTTGTTCATGTGGTCGGCATTGACTTGCCGTTTTCAAGAAAAACAAGTAACCTAATCCCTCTGGATTGACCACGGTCTGTCAATCACGACCATTGACCGTCGTAAGTATTCACACTGGCCGGCCACTATTGGATCCAAAAACTGGGTACGTCACCCTTGCGTCAGCGCCAACCATGGCCAAGCATGGTATGGCTATATAACCCGCGTGTGTTTGTGGCAAGCGAGAGCCAACTAGAGGAGGAAAAATAGAATTTGATCTCAAAGACATCGAGAAAGAAGGAGAGGGAGAGAAAAATAAAGGAGAAATTGTGGCGAGCGAGAGCCAACTAGAGGAGGAAAAATAGAATTTGATCTCAAAGACATCGAGAAAGAAGGAGAGGGAGAGAAAAGTAAAGGAGAAAAATCTGTTGTGCTTGTCTGTGGGTTTGGTTTTGGTTGGTAAGGGTTGTTCTTGAGGAGCCTTTAAGGAGGAGAGAGCGAGAGTAGAGGCCACATTCTAAAGTTTTCGAGCTATATGATCTCCAAAAGCTAGCAAAGCCCTTTTTCTCCTTTCCCCTCTTGGAGAAAGAACTTTCGTGGTTTTGAGAGGATAGCTATGGAGCTCAAGCTTCTCCTCCTCCTCCTGGTTGCAATCCTGGCTTCTACAGCCTCGGCTCAATGCCCTCTCTCCCACAGGATTGGAAGCAGCCAGAGATCTTTCAGAGCTTGCAGGAATCTTGCGGAGCAAGGAGCCACACTGGCCTGGACTCACACTTCCTCCTCAAACACTCTGGATGCCGTCTTCACTGGGACTGCCCCGAGCTCCTCGGGCTGGGTGGCCTGGGGGATCAACACCGGCCCAGCGCCAGTGATGATGGGAGCCGACGTCTTCCTCGCCTTCCGGGCCAGCAATGGCACTGCCATGATCCTCACCTACAAGCTCACGCAGGATCTCATGACCAAGCTCCCATCCCCCGGGCCGATTGGGATCCGGGTGCTGGACAAATCCGTGGACATTAGCGGCAACCGGATGAAGCTGTTCGTGAGGATCCAGCTGCCGCGCAATGGCAGCGCCGGGAGCGTGATCAACCACATCTGGAACAGGGGAGCGGCGATGCAGGGATCGAGCCCGCTGCCGCACGACACCAAGAACGACATCAAGAGCGCTGGCAGCATCAACATTGCCAGCGGCAACGCGGAGATCGTCATCCCCCACCAGAAGCTCAAGAACGTAAGTATACTTCTTCTTCTTCGTTTTCTTTTTGGTGATTGTTTGCATCGGCATTCAAATCTTTAGTGGTCAATCCAGAAATCGAGCACTTGGGTCGATGGATCGCTTCATTGGGTCTCGTGGGTAGTCATTATACTCCGTGTCGGATCGTCCCAGCGATCGGGAAAGTGCTCAGCACAGGCTTCTCTTTCTTTTCTCATTTTTTCGCTCCTCCTTTCTCGTTTTGTGGGGCATCGCGCAATCAGAGAATCCATGGCCGTGCTGCTTTTGCTTTCGGCCACCGAGTGAGAAATCAATGCGGGCCCTCGTTTCATGTTCTCGCCTAAATCTAGTGCTTGTGACCGTCAATCAGCAGCAGTAGAGCATAAGCCTGTGCTACAGTCTCTTTTACTCTTCTTTCTCTCTGTCCTTTCGCTTTCTCGATGGAGCTTCTTCCACCGTTGCCATGAAGCTCACTCTCTCGCGTACCATCGAGGGAATCGATTCAGCTTTTCCTCCTTTCCTTCTTTTTCCTTGTCGATCGAATATTGGCCCGTGAACATCCTCTGTTTGTTTCCTCCAACAGTAGGCAGCTTTTATAAATCCGTGCATTCGCCACCACCAGCGTTCTTCGAGAAGGAGAAACCATCTTTTTCTTCGCTCTTTAAGTGTCATCTAGGACGGAACAAACTGTTCCACCACCTTTTTTTTCTTCGATAGTCATAATTTTGTGTTCTCACTGGTCTTCGCAGAGGCACGGGATTATCAATGCAGTGGGATGGGGATTGCTCCTGCCACTGGGAGTCATGTCAGCTCGATACTTGAAAGTTTTCCAGTGCGCGGACCCAGCATGGTTTTACATGCACGCTTTCTTCCAGAGCTCCGGCTACGTTCTGGGCGTTGTCGGCTGGGCCACGGGACTCAAGCTCGCGACTTACGCCGCTACAGTGCGCTGCAAGCACCGGAATCTCGGCATCGCCATCTTCGTCTTCTCGACGTTGCAAGTAAGCTCTCATAATTCTCCTCTGGATTGCCACGTTTCGACTTTTGTACTGCCTTTCTCAATCTCTTGGCACGGTTTTGCTTGAGTTTCACTCCACGGCTGCATGATTCGCCTCTTTTCCTGATGGAACCGCCTCTGCGTGCGTCTACAGGTCCTGTCGCTTCTTTTGCGGCCCAAAAAGGAGCACAAGGTGCGGAAATTCTGGAACATCTACCACCACACGCTGGGCTACGCCACCATCGCCATGATCATCGTCAACATCTTCGAGGGCTTTGATCTCCTGCAGCCGGATCGGAAGTGGAAGCGCACCTACATTGGAGTGATCTCATCGCTGGCTGCGCTGAGCGTAATCTTGGAGGTGGTCACCTGGGTCGTCTACTTACGAAACAAGTCCAGACGATCGTCTCAAGCCGAGCCCTTCAAAGGAGCTGCCGCTGCAAATGGTCACGGGTCATCTCCTTGGCCCAGTGCTGCTACTGCTCCCAATGGGGCTTGAATGCCGGATAAAAATGATAAAAAGAAGAAAACAATGCGAGAGAAGAAAAGGATGGCTACATCGTAATGTAGTGCTATACGTTTCGCTATGTGTTATACAATATATTTTTATAGGATTTCTGCGAACAGGATTCTCATGTTTGACCAGAATAAAAATGTTGTCGTCCACATGGTGGAAAAGCAGCAGTGAAGTTTAAAGAAAACCCCTTTCCGTACTATGTTCTTGTTCTTGTTTGTTTTGAGCAGATCGAGGAGCTTGAACTTGTCACAAACATTGGCTGGGAGTCATCGTCTTTTGGGCGATCGTCTTCTTTCAAGAGAATCTAAAAGCTTGTTGTTTCCACCAAAAATTGCGTTTAATTTTTGCGTCATGATCGTGTCATTTCTTCCTGTGGACCAAGCGAGCTCTTTTTAAGCCACAGAATGAATAAAAGATTTCATCCACATTTGGCGCTTTTCTCCAGTCACAAAGTTACGCTCCAAAAATCATCTCGATGTTCCTTCGTTGTCGAACAAAGACCGCACACCACACTCAAAAGCGAGGCCGTGAGAGACGCAAGGAGCCACAAATTATGTAACATTTCGATCCAAGCACACTTGCTGTGAATTACTACGGAGAGATTCTCGAGCAAGACCTGCGTGATAAAAACTTTAGAACCAAGTAAACAGCAGAGTATCTTTTCTCTCCCATAGAAGACGTGGAAATCGCAGCTACTGCGATTTCATTCTCTTGCAGGCTTACTTTTTAGGTGGTGGCGTCGTTATTCTCTTCGTCCTCGTCTGCGTCCTCCTCCAGCGTCGCCTCTGCCTCGTCTGCCTCGTTGATGAGTCCCAGTTGCCCCTGGCGTACGTTGAAGCTCATGGACGCCTGAATTCCCTTCTTTGAGACTTCGTTGTCCAGTGCCACGACGCTGTCTCTGATCGTCGGCCGGGACTTTTCAAACGCCTGGTCGCCCACTAGCTTGCGAGAGACTCCCAAAGTCATCCCCACCGAGACCAGGGTCTCCAGCGACCTCTCGCTGTTGGCGAGGAGATCCTTGTCAATGTCAATCGCTCCCTGCATGGAAAGCACACAGCTCGTCAGCTCCTCAAGAGGATGGGAAGGCTTGCCAGTCATGACACGTACCGCGCGGAAGACGCAAATGCACGTACTTCCCCCGAAAGAAAAGTATCCGAGCTGTGCCAGGACCAGTGAGGAAACTCGTCGACTTCTTGTTTTATTTTTTCATACCTCGTCGCCCTTCTTGACGACGGATCCTTCTTTTTTAGTGAACGTAATGCTGCCCACCATTGTTGCTCCGATTGCCACGAATGCCACCTACATTTAATTCTAAATAGAGGGTTTACCAAAGGGAAGATCGCATACCTGTCCAAAATCTTCACTAGAAATGATGCAAACAGCGCGCTTGTTGTCCGTGAAAACATTACAATACGGACTATTCACGGCAATAGGATTCACCTGCAAAAGTATAAGATAGGAAATAATTTATGCATCACCTCACAAAGGCCATACCGTTAATAGATGGCCCGGTATATCAATTAGCGGCCCCAATACTCCACTAATTGGCACGTGAAACCGATGATAATCCTGTAGAGGAAAAGCTAACTGTTACAGCAAGTAACAAATATGATGAACCTGAGGTGCCAAACGAAAAATGGCGATAGGACCGCCCTCGAACTGCTTTGCCAATGCTTTGTCCCCAAGAAGGCCAGGTACAGAAAATCGCCTCCCCTAGTAAATAGAAACGTATCAGTCGTAGCAACTCCTTCGTTTCTCTTAAACCTTGATCCAAAAACGCGTGGCTGCATCAGCGTTCTCGAACACCATCAAACGGCAATCAGCACCACACACTGCAACAGCGTCATTGTTTTCTTGTGCAATGGGTCGTGATCCGGGCCGAAGTTCTCTGATGAAAAACTCGTTGAAAGTCTGTAAATAAATGCTTGTGTGGCTCAAGTTCGCTTAGGTGACAACCAAACCTTGTAGTGTTCAACGGGATGCTTGAACTCGTCAACATCAATCCTGTCCTGTTTGGTCAGCTCACATTAACAACTGCAAGAAACACAAGCAATGTGTCCGCTTACATGAAAAAATTCAATGAACTTGGGAATAGCAGCCGCTGATTGAGGAGAATCCATTTTCCTTCCGTGCTTTTCTGACAGCCGTATTAGAAAACTTTTTGTTCCTGGCACACAAAGCACAATGCAAATTAAAAATAATGTAAGACAAAGAGAAAAAATTACTGTAGCTTTACCAGCATCGAGAAGAGCTAATCCGAGTTTCGACTGATAAATTGCACGCATCGCCAAGGCTATTTTTTTGTCAATAACCTCTTCGATCATTCTCTTAGACCTTCGATCGAATACCTGGCATAATTCTCTTGAGTCCCTAGAAATTAGAACCAAGAAAGAGCAGGCATACAAGAATGTGGGCAACATTAGAGCCTTTCTTCAGACCAACGTCGTACGTGGAAAGATTTGCCCACTCGCTGAATTTGAACATCCACCTGTAATGATGAAAAAAAAAAACATTTTCAGTGCCTGTAACTAAACGCGAACCACAAATATACCCATATGAAGCCTGCTTTTCCGTTATAAAACCTCCTCTCATAATTTCCAAACCAGTGCCTTCGTCAAAACAAAGGCTCATGTGAATCATGCCGTTCAGGTTGTCTACAACTCCAAGATTATCACCACATACAGGACACTGCTTAACCCAAATAGTTCTGTCAAACGTAAAACTGTCACCAGTAAAAGGAACGCAATCCGTGTTATAATTACCTTTCCTTGTGCGTGGCAAGTAATTGGGCAAGCTCGTCGGCACTGACTTTTCCATCCTTATTCTCGTCAGCTTGCAAAAACAAGTTGGAAAGCTACAAATCAACAATGAATAGTTTATAGAGGTGATAGAAAAACGCAGAAAAATGTTACCTCCTCGTCAGACATTCTGTTCCCAAAGGATTTGATCAAATCATGAAACTCGTCCAGCGATAACTCGCCATTTTCATCAAAGTCCTGCACTAAAGTTGAAGGTGTGTGCATCTAAAAGAAATTTGTAACGTACCACTATTGCAAGCAGACGCCTCGCAAAGCTTCGCTCTGTTTCCATTTGACTCTACGAGAAAAAACAGCTTAGGCAGGCAGTTGTCCGAAACAGCAGCTTATACCTCAATCCTGTACTCCACAGTGATGTGACCGACAGTTTTCGTCTTTGTACTTGGATCAAACAGATAAAGCATCTCAGAATTTTCTTCATCCTGAGCCGCAGTTCAGCAAAGCACGAAACGGAAAAAAAACAAGACTTACTGGGCGAAGCACAAGGGACAGATCGATTTCGCAGTAACCAACGAGGGTGTTTTTCGCGAGCTTATGCACCTGTTAACACCGTAAGTTCTAGCTCTAAACAAAACGAAATCACCTCAAAAACCGAGATCCGGGTGATGCGAGGACCATTTTGCTCTAGTGCTACTTTCTTTTCCTGGAACAAAGCGAAAATAGTACAAAGCAGCAGTCCACAACCAAAAAGCACTTACAGATTTCCATTGGGGATTGTCTGTGCTGCATAACAATTTTTGTCACACATCACAGCATCAGGAAAAGAAACTTGGAAAATGCGAAGGAGGAGCAAACCGTAACCTGGGAGACGTTGATGTCCTAAACGCCTGCTCTCCGATAGAAACACAGGCAAACCACTTTGCTCTTCGTTGCATTTCCGCCTAAAAGCACCAAAAAGGGGAAAAGTGAAAGAAGAAACACTGAGAAGAGCAATCGATACACTCACCTCTGCCAAATGGATTCGGACAATGCCGGAGAAATCCTCGGCCCGGAAGGTCCGATTGTCCCTGTGCATCACCTTCTTGGGCTTGGGAGGCGGCCTCCTGGACGATTCCGGCTTTCCCAGGCGCTGCCCCATCCTGAGGAGAAAATATTTCCACCAACAACATCAACAGAATGCGATGGAGAATGCGATGGGGAGGGGGCGGGAGCTAGCGCCTAGCCTTTTCTGGAGGATCGCCGCGGCGAGAAGCTGTGCTAGCATACACATCGCTTCTTTCTCCTCTGGGAAGGCTTGGATCGCTCCGGCAACAGCATTTCTGGGGAGGAGCTAGAATACCAGTGGCGAAGACGATCGGCTACATCACGCGGCGCGCCATGCGTGTCCTCCTGCGACGTTGCCATTGCTTCGCGCGCTCTAGGGTTACATTAGTGCTAACAAACCGCCAATAGAAATCCCCCAGGTTTTTTTATTTTATTTAACCAGGCTTTAACTATTTAATTTCAAGTTAGTAATTTAATCACGCTTATTTAATCTTTAAATATTTAATTAATTAATATATTTAATTACAACATTGAGGCCTATTAGCTTAGCTGGTCAGCGCGTGGTGCTACTAACGCCAAGGTCGCAGGTTCGAAACCTGCATAGGCCAAACTGGTATTTATTTTGTCGAAATCTTTTGCTTAATTTAGTTTGGTTGTTTACAATCGCAATGTTGAGGCCTATTAGCTCAGCTGGTCAGAGCGTGGTGCTAATAACGCCAAGGTCGTAGGTTCGAGACCTGCATGGGCCAGCTTTCATTTTTTTTTTTTCATCTTCTTCCTCTTGGAGCAAATGCATGGCGTCCCCATCCCTCAATGCTGCTTCTCCCGGAACAAATCCGAGTTTCCCCAGGGATTTGGCCCTGCTGGAGGATAGAAAACTCCCCTGGGAAGCATTGTGGAGAATGATCTCGGTGGCTTCTCGATCGAATTGTTGTCCGTGGTTGCTCCCGCACTCCTGCTCCACGATTGGAGCTCCGATTGATCCCCAGCCGGAGAATTCCGCGCCTGAGATTCATCAGAGGAGGCCAGGATCTTCCTGCTCGTCGGCGATGATCCAGACTGGCTAAGAACGAAGCCCGCAAGGACGAGTACTGCTGAAAGAAGCAACTTCCCATAAAATAATCGACTAGCAGTCATCTAGAAATGATTTTTCTTTGCGTTTCTTTTCCCTTTTCCACACGAGCTGTGAACTAAACAATGCGGCGGGCAGCTTCTGCGGAGGATTTCCACTGCCGGGATTTTAAAAACTGGTGCGTTTGGAGGGAAGGTTTTCGTGGTTTTAGTTTGGTGGGGTTTGCTATCTCTCCCAATCAGAACCGACCTCACCTTTCAAAAGAAAAAAAGAGAGAAAGAACTCGGTGATTCCTGCTTTGGGAACGCGAGAATATCCGGCGCGAATAGGTAGTTCATGACTTTTGTTGGTGTGCTACGTATTGCGAGCGTATGTCTAGACGTATATATTCACGAATTGTGTGCATGGAAAGGTTATAGAGAAAAGATTGAATTAGAAGGCTTTTGTCAACACCAATCGATAAAATCCAGAAATAGAAGGATGCTTTTTGGGTGTGATTATTCTCTAGGTATCTCGTTGCTTCCACGGGAAAATAACAGCCTCTACGAGAATTTTCTTCGTCTGTTCTATTCGTTTCATCGCAAAAAGTTTCATACTAATCATGCTTTGTTGTTAACGGGCATTTGGTCTAGTGGTATGATTCTCGCTTCGGGTGTGAGAGGTCCTGAGTTCGATTCTCGGAATGCCCCTTTTTAAGACTTAAAACCAGGGAAAAAGTGTAGCCTGTTAATGTCTGGGTGCGAGAGGTCTAGATTGCCCCTAAGTGAGTTTCACTTCCATAGCCATCATCATCGCAGAATCTGCTGCAAAGGCTTCACACTTTCTTGTTAATGGGCATTTTGTCTACTGGTACGATTCTCGCTTCGGGTGCGAGAGGTATCAAGTTCAATTCTCAGAATTCGTGCAAACAGCAGCTAATCGTAATTACGCTTGTTACCTTGTTAATGGTATGATTCTCACTTCGGGTGCGAGAGGTCCCACGTTCAATTCTCGGAATACGCCCTTTCTCGTTTCGAAAGTTTAATGATTCATAGGTGGATCGCATTTTTGACCTCGTGGATGCTGTGACGATGCTCTTGGTCCCCTCCATGCCGAGTCATGAAAGCAGGCGTAAAATTTGACTAGTTGCTGCCGGACCAAGAAAAACTTGTCACTAGTCAAGGATCACGAAGCAAACGTGATAGTGATAGAATTATTCTGTGTGTATATTCACAAAGTTTAAGCAAGAACATCTATAATCCTGTGTGTTTCAAAGTTCATGGATCTGTGATGCTGTGGCTCGATCTCACCAAGTTTTCATTGTGCCTGAGAGATGGTCCCGGTGGAGGGGTCGAAACTTTCCTGGGAAGCTTGCCAAGCAGCAGGGATGGAAACGAATCGCGGTTGTAATGCCGCTGCCTCTCGAAACTCTGCCTGTTTGTGAACACTACAACGCCAATGGAGGCCACTAGCAGCAGGAGAACAATCACTAACTTGACCATGATCGCTATGAACTATATCACGAAAGATCCGAGCTCGAAAGTGATTCCCGATTGGAGACGGATCAAAAAGAGGCAGAAGAATACTTGGAGTGTGACGAATTTTGTAGCGCCCTCAAATACTCTTTCGGTTGATCCGAAAAGTCCACGAGGAGAAAACGAAAGTCAGCTCTCCAAGCATGAATGGTGTTGTGAGAACTGAAGAGAAAGAGGAAAAAAATGGGATCACTGTTTGGTGCTTAGCAGACATGTCCAGGCTGAGGGAGGCCAGATTCGCCGACGCAGGCGAGTATGTTGGTGTTAACTTAGGACTAATATAATATAATTAACAAAACTCCCCCTTATAAACGTTTTAGGGTTCCTGAGGTTTTAGGTTTTAGGGTTCTTTACGGTGGCGCTGGCGGATGAGGATGATCCCGTCCAGCAGCAAGCGGCTGAGGAGGAGGATGCGGCCGATGGTGAGTGTGGATTCTGCGCTTTCATGAAAAAGGGGCCTTGCGGCGGCGTGTTTGTGAACTGGGAAGATTGCACCGACAGGGCCGAGGAGGAGGAGGAGAAGAAGAAGAAATCGGAGAAATCCGAGGGAGCGGAGTCGCCACTCGAGAAGTGTAGGCCGGCGATGCGATTCTTGAAGGCGTGCATGGAGAGCAACCAGGATTACTACGGGGTCGTGCTGCGCGCTGAGCAGGCGGTGCTTGATTCGGTCACCAAGGGCGAAGAAAAGGGCGAGAACGAAGCCGGCGAGATCAAATCTAGCAAGGAAGCGCAAGAAATCGCCACTTGAATCGCTCCTCTCTCTAATCCCCCCTTTGTGCTTTTCAATTTTGTTTTTCTAGATCGATTGGGAGCTGAGCGAAAGCCTTGGATCTGCGAGGAACAAATCTAGCTTCCTAGGAACTCTTTCTTTGCTCCTGATGATTCTTTGCCACAGGATGGTCTCGTTGTCTCGCAAGTTTCGGGAAGAGCTCTCGCATCCATCGACGGATCTGGAGCTGGAGATTTTGTGGATGTCTCGCAGATCCTGAGCTCTGGAATCTGTGGAGAAATCTCACTTCCCAAGATCAAGTTTAAGCAATACTGCCAGGTTTCTCTGTGCTCGCAATGCGCAGTGAGAAGTATGATGTATTGCACAGTTAGAAATAAATCACTTTCCCGCCATGGCTTTCGAAATTTAGGTTTAGGGTTTAGAGGCGTGATGAAGGGGCTTCTTCCCTTACGCGCGGACGATGACACGCCTCGGAATGCCAAGCGCAAGAGGGAGGAAGATCGGCCGCGTCTCGAGGAGCTCCTCCAGCGCTACTTCGGCCACTCGAGCTTCCGCGGATTGCAGCTCGACGCGATCGAGGCTGTTCTAGCAGGTGAATCACTAAATGTGTGCCTGGATTTCAAGATTTTCGGATGCTTCAGGCAAAGATTGCTTCTGCATGATGCCGACGGGTGCTGGGAAGTCTCTCTGCTATCAGATTCCAGCGCTGGCAAAGCCAGGAATTGTTCTTGTGGTTTCGCCATTGATTGGTAAGCAAAGATTTTCATCCTATCGTGAATTTGCTGACACGGTTTTGCTTCTTTCCTTATGCCAAAGCATTGATGGTAAGAATTTTTTCGTTCTGGATCTATAAACAAGTTTTCCAACCTTTTCTTTCTTATTTTACATCAGGAAGATCAAGTTGCTGCTTTAAAATCCCGTCAAATATTTGCAGAGTACTTGTCATCGTCACAACCCGTGAAAATGAGGAACAAGGTATCCGATACTTATCTCATTGCGAGATCTGTTTTGTGCTTGCAGATATTCGAGGAGCTTCAATCTGGTAAACCGAATTTAAAGCTGCTGTATGTTACTCCAGAATCGGTTGCAACCAACCATCTCATGCAAAAGCTGAGAAAGCTTCACGAGAGGAGCCTTCTGTCTCTGATTGCCATTGATGAGGTTTTCTTTTTTTGAAAATTATTTCTTTGTTTTATCATGACTTGTTCAATAGGCGCATTGTATATCATCCTGGGGACACGACTTCAGGTAATGAATCGTGCTTCTAGATGTCTCCGTGCTTGATAATTTGCTGTTCTTAGACCAAGCTATCGGAAGTTGTCAGCCTTGAGAACAAGCCTACCTGACATTCCAATACTAGCTCTAACAGCGACAGCCAGCAAGAAGTAAGTCTACTAGATTTCACTTGCGCAAACATATGATTATGCTCGTTTTACAGGGTGCAAGAAGACATCATCAAATCACTTAGTCTGCAAAAGGCAGCAGTTTTAATATCGTCTTTTAATCGTGCAAATATTTTCTATGAAGGTAAATCTTCAAGCAGCGAGTCGTTACTGACGATATGATCTGAACACTAGTGCGCTTCAAGGACTTGATGAAGAGTGCTTACGAGGATCTGCGAAATATAATCACGACAGCTCCGACGCGGTGCATGATTATTTACTGTCATGCTCGCGCCATGTGCGATGAAATAGGCTCGCGGTTAAAATCAGATGGGATCTCGTGTCGAGGTATGATATGCATGCCTCTCTTGTTCCTACTGACTCAGAATATCTTATGCAGTATATCACGCGGGTATCAACGTTAAAGCTCGGAGCCAGGCATTACAAGACTGGGTTCTTGGAGAAGTTCATATTATTGTGGCAACTATCGCATTTGGGTACGTTATCCTCAAAAGTTTTTGAAATCAAACAACTTACAGTTGCTTCTTCTCTTCTTTTTTTTCCCTAGGATGGTACAAGTTTATTGTTAGCTTTACGTATCTTGAATAATGAGGTAATGGTGCGCAGGGAATAGATCGGAAGGATGTTAGGATGGTGTGTCATTTTAACATGCCCAAGTCGCTCGAATCCTTTTA